AATTTACTGATCAACTTTTCTCATTTTATTCTCAAACCAAGTACAAAATAATTATATAAAGCAGAAATGAGAAGGCATACCACAGTAATGACCATTCAAAAAATATATAGTATAATCAATAAGTTTCACCATTTACATTCTCTTGCATAAACCCACATGTATATTGTGCATAATGAGTTAATCTTCTGGGAAACTATTGACAGTTTCGAACATGCTTGAAGAATTAAAACATAGGTATAAAAATTTTACCCATATGTATATTTAATTTAGGTGATTAAGACAGATACTAGAGCCAAGTAGGTGATTAATCCAACACGTATCATCATATTTGACCTTGCTGGTAAAATAACTAGAGCAAGGAGCCATGCCTGCATAATCAAGACAGTTAACTATGTCAAAATTAAAAGACAGTTAAACAAAAATTAAATAAGAAAAAAGAAAATAGCATTTAAAGAATAAAAGAACCAGCTCAATTGCGGTAAAAACCACACTGCAAATGTTGGTAACACAGTAGTTCAAGACTGAAGGTTAGCTAATGTAGTGCTGATTCCAGGACCCATATATATTTACAAATTTAGACTTATCATGTATTTAATTAACAAAAAAGGATTATCATCCATTAAACGCCCCATGCTTGGATCATCCAATAACAGATCCCCATAAACTACCCAATGATTTTGAGCATTTCCTGCATAATATTTTTAGAGCATTTCCTGCATAATATAAGAGTTTTATGTATAGTTTTATGGTGAACTCAAATTACTAAATATGCTTGATGGGTGAATGTCCAATTACATATGTTGGATACATATTCGATACCCTTCTTCAAGTTTCGAGACACTTAGACACAAACCCGCACTTAACACCCATAATCAAGTCCATGTAACATAGACAAAAGCAAACCTTAAATGATTCTTTTACATTTACAATAAGTCCCTTTGTTTGAAGGATAACCATTGGGCCATTTTGATCATTTTTAGTGGAGACCGAGTGGACACCAAAAGTTGTCCATGTTTTTTTTTTTTTTTTTTTGGACAAGTTAAAGTTGTCCAGGTTTAATATGTAGTAATAATGGATAGATAACAAAGTTTCAATGAAGCAAGGATTACTAGATTCTAGAAAAAAAATTTAACCATTGTGCACCCAGAAACATAGTGACTCATGTGCTTTCCACTAAGGGTTATAGTTCCTTAAGACATCTACAAAACAACTATCCTCCAACAAACAATGGCAACCCCCAAAACATAACATATTCTTAAACAAGTTAGGTAACTAATTTCTCAAGCGTATTATTCACATTTTTAATTGCAGTACCTGCATAGTGTCTCTTCTTTTAAGCAAATATTCCCAGATTTGATCACAATGGCCAAGTGCATATGAAAACATGAAAATATATCTAATGCGTATGAATAGCAACTCCAAGGTTCAGATAAGTCAAGATCTGGTAATCCTTAAGAAAATATCAACAACCCAACACTAGAGTCATATGCATATGAAATGCATCCACTTGCCCACCCATCAAGCATCCAATGTACTAACATGCATGAATTTCAACCCATTGTCATCCACTTAAATTGATTATTACAAATTGCAATTAATTATTAAGACCAAATACAAAGCACTTAGGACATAATGCACAATAACTATTTTGGGACAAACAATGATATATTTACAGTAACGATTTGGCAACAGATAAGATAACACAAATAGTCAAAACTAATAAGTTGGCATACCCAGATCCCAAACTTGAAACTTTATGTTGTTATATTGAACTGTTTCCACATTAAACCCAATTATTGCATCATATATATACACACAGAAATTAATCCACAGGTTCCAAAAAAAGAAAATATGACACTTTAGAGTGAAGTATCAAACTTTCCACTTCTGAAAAAAAAAATACAGTAAATTAGCACTATAATTTTTAAATTAAAAATTTTATCAATTTGTAAATCATGAATCCAATGGTCTCCAATTCCCTGATCTTCTTGGCAAACAAAGAAAGATTATGCAAACAAAAAAGAAACCAAGAAAGAGTACCAACTTGGAATTGTAGAGACAACTTCACCTATCTAAAGCCGATCTGCACAAAAAAATGAAATCGAGTTGCTCAATTATCAAAATTGGGGAGAACCCAGTTGATAGAAATGCAAGATCAGAAAAGGGTAAGGGCAGAATCAAAGAATCATACAGAGAATTGTGGTTTTTCCAGCATTGTCAAGACCAAGAGCGAGTTTGTTACCAAAAAGCGAAGAGAACAATCGAGTAAACACAATCCCCATTTTTCTTCTCCCTTAGATGGAGAATCAAAAGGACCAATCAGATCTTTAAGATCCCCACAAGAAACCTCTGAATATTTTAAGAGAGAGAGAGAAAGAGAAAAAAAAAGCATACACGAGACGAAGCATCAATGGAGCAGAGTTCATCTTAGCGATGAAGCCTCTGGATCTTGCGGCAGTGGATCTGTGAAGATTGGCGGAGCAGGAGGAGGCGGCGTGAAAAGATCGGCGGTACTCACGATGACGATGGCGATGGCAATGGCGATGGCAGAGGAGGAGGAGGTGCTCCAGTTTCCATCGAAAGCAAAGAAGAGCGGCAGTGAAAGAGGGAGGGGAGAGGAGTAGCAGAGATGGAGAGGGAGAGGGACGCCGAAAAGAGAGAGAGAGAGAGAGAGAGAGAGAGAGAGAGAGGCGCAGATTATTTTAGGGTTTGGTTGGTACAAAATATATATATATATATATATATATATCATTTTATACAATTGACGACTGAAATACCTAATGGTCACCAATTAATTTTTTTAATCCATTCAAAATTTGAAAGGTCTCTAAAATATATCATCTTTGGCGACAAAAGTATGTTTCGGTCGCCAAAGATAAAAGTAATTTTTTTTTCAATTCAGCGATGAAATCATTTTAGTAGCCAAAACAAACTTTACAGTGACTAAAAAAAAAATTTGTCGCTGAAAATAAATTTTTAGCGACCAATAAAAAAAAAATTTCAATTCGGCAACGAAATCATTTTAGTAGCCAAAACAAACTCTATAGCGACTAAAAAAAAATTTGGTCGCTGAAAATATATTTTGGAGACCAAAGTTTAGTCGCCAAAGATAAAAAAATAATTTTTTACTTTCAATTCGGCGACTAAATGCTTTTAGTAGCCAAAACCCAATATACAGCGACTAATTTTTTTTTTTTTGCCGCCAATTCTGAAATTTTTTCCAACTAAATTTTTTTTTAGTCGCCAATAATCAATATATGTCGACTAAAAAAAATTAGTAGCTAAATATTTTACTTTTGCCGACCAAAAAAATTATTAGTCGCCAATTCCCCGACTTTTGGCGACTAAATTTTAAATTTTAGTCGCCAAATGTGTATTTTGTTGTAGTGATCCTTTCCATAACTCAAACGGTGTTTTGGGAACAACCTTTGATGGAGCCATGTTTAAGATATACACAGCGGTTTTCAAAGCTTCACTCCATAAATTTATAGACACATTAGAATAACTAAACATGCTCCTTACCATGTCCATAAGTGTTCGGTTCCTTCTTTCAGCAACACCATTTTGTTGTGGTGTGCTAGGCATTGAATATTGTGCAATAATGCCTTCTTCCTTAAGGAACTTAGCAAATGGACCTGGTAATTGTCCCAATTCTGTGTACCTCCTATAATATTCTCCACCCCTGTCTGACCTCACAATTTTAATATTCTTTTCTATTTGTTGCTCTACCACTACTTTATAAACTTTAAAGGCATCAAGTGCCTCGGCCTTATCAAACAAGAGGTAGAGATACATGTATCGTGTGAAGTCATCAATAAATGAGATAAAATATCTCTGACCATTCAGACAAGGTGGAGTAAATGGTCCACAAATATCAGTGTGTATGATTCCAAGAATTTCCTCACTCCTTTTGGCGCATTTACTGGTCTTGTTGGTCTGCTTTTCCTTTATGCAGTCTACACAAGTACCAAAGTTGGTAAAATCAAGAGTTGGAAGGACTTCATCATTAACCAACCTCTTTATTCTCTCAATGGAGATATGTCCCAATCTCCTATGCCAAAGAATAGAGGAGGACTCATCAACAATATTACGTTTAATGCCAATATCACCATGCATGGTTAAAAGATTTTGTTCAAAAACGGGATCCAGATTTAATTTGTACAAACCATTAATTAAAGTACCAAATCCTACAGAAACAGAGTCTTTAAACAAACTAAATTTTGCACCAACAAACTGAAATTCAAATCCAAATGGTACTAGTCTAAAAACAGAAATTAAGTTTTTTAAAAATGATGAAATGTAAAATGCGTTTTCAAGATCCAAAACAAAGCCATTTTTTAAAACAAGTTTGAAAGTTCCAACAGCTTCGGCGTGTGAACGCATCCCATTGCCCGAATAGATGCCTTGTTCACTTCTCGTCGGTTTCCTTAGACTGAGGAAGCCCTGCATGGTATTAGCAATGTGAATTGTAGAACCCGAATCAATCCACCAATCATATTGATGAGTATTAACAAAATTAGATTCATAACACATAAGAGATATGAGATTACCTTTCTTCTCAAGCCATTTCTTATACTTGGGGCAATCTTTCTTCATGTAACCATTTTTCTTGCAGAAGAAGCATGCATCCTTATTGCCATGATTTTTAAATGGCACTTTACCAAGCTTCTTCCATTTCTGATCACCTTTGTCCTTTTTCCATTGCCCTCCTTTATGTGTTGCTAAATGAGCACTTTCTACTTTTCCATGCTTCAATCTCTCCTCCTCTTGAACACACATAGTCAAAAGTTCATTGATAGACCATTTTTCCTTCTGTGTCTTGTAAGAAATTTGGAATGCTCCATATTCCACAAGAAGAGAATTGAGTATGAAATTGACAAGGAATGACTCAGAAATCTCAATCTCTAAGGACTTAAGACGAGCTGCAATGTCCCTCATTTCCATAATGTGCTCACGCACACTCCTAGAATTGTTATGCTTCATTCCTGATAGTTTGTTTATTAGGGTACGGTGCTTGCGAATGCTTTGTCAGAACTAACAAATTGCTCTTCAATAGCCCTCATGTAGTTCTTGACCTTATCAGATGGTGGGATTGAGCCCCTAATGCTATGGCTAATATGTGACTTTATGAGCATTAGGCTTAAGCGATTGGATCGCTCCCACTTATCATAAACACCCTTTTCTGTAGCGGAACTCTCGTCCATGGGTTCAAGAGGTTCATCCACACGGAGTGCCAAATCGAGGTCCATGCACCCTAATGTTAGAAGGATTTTGCCCTTCCAGTCCGAAAAATTATCACCGTTCAAGAATAGAATACGAGAAAACTCATTAGATAGTACAGAGGTAGAAATCACTGCAATTACCAAGAACATTATTAATGCTTTGAAACAATAACTATAGTCTGAATCAACCAATGTCAAATTCAGTAACAAATCTAAACCTTCCTGTAGGTAGAGGTCACTAAACTGTATTAAATTTGCTATTACTTTATAATAAGACTAATGGATTCCAAAATATTTAAGGAAAAGAAAACTCATACATGTGGGTTTAGAGTGTTCAATCCCTTTAATACCCAATCCATTATCTTATTTCAATTAAATTTCATAAATAATTACTTTCCTGTGGGCCAAGAAATTATTCATAAAACATAATTGCAATGAAAAAATGCCAAATTAATTTTTAACTTTATGTGATCAAAATACTGAGGATCACATCTTTATATCTTAAGATGTTGTGGCTACTCTTAAAACAGAATAAAATTTTTAAATATGGCATAATTTATAAGTGTGAGCAAATCCTTATAGTCACAACAAATACATAATCTTTCAATGCACCTAATGTATAATACATACAATCAAAGTAATATCACATGAAAAATCCCAAGACCAAACACATGTAATTCAACCTTATACTAGATTTTGCTTAAAAATTGGACCAAAATAAATTCCATAAGCCCAACACATAGTGTATTCATGCTCTTATTTCACATGAATTTTCAATGCGTAAATAATTACCTTAATGCATGTAATATAATATTACATTATTTTAGATAACATGCCAATGAATTTCAAAAATTATAAAAACTAAAAGAACATGTTATAATTCACTGTATGAAATTCAATTGAATTTGCTTACTATTTAAACATGCAACTATAATAACAAAACATCCTTAACAGCATGTTAAAATTTCTTTATGAAAAATCTAGAAATAAATTCAAGTCTTTCATGCCTTTTAAAATAAACCAAATAACTCCAAATAAAACATGATAATTTCTAGAATTTATACAAAATAAGAGGACGCAGTTTTTTTATTTTATTTTAATGTTTGTCAATTAATAAAAATCAACACTTAATGACATACAATAATTTCTTAAGATGAAATAGATTCAGAACAGGAGTAATGCAAATACTACAATCACATAACAGAATGAATTCTACTAATCCCTCTAAGTAATTCATCATGCAATAACTCATCTTTGATAGACATCAAATTAATATTTTAATCCATCAAGTTTCATATACATATATATATATATATATATTAAGATGAATCAAACAATGAATATTCATTCTGATAATTCAAACTTTAAATAATGTTAAACTATATGGCACAATCACAAGTCATGTATAATGATGGCACCATGTTGACTGAAACTTCACTATTAAGTAATAGACTATCAATTTTATATTCAAAAGTATGATGGCCTGCAAGTTCCAAAACCTCCTTGACAGAAGAAAATAAACAAAGAGCTAAAAGCAAAGACGTGGTGTGCTCAGACTAATCAAAATATTAGGAAACGTAAACCAAAATAATATATTATAGCCAACAAAATCACATGAAGAAAATTATCATGTCGAAATCATAACGGAACATGGGCCCAGCAAGTGTATAAAATAGAATGCAATAAAATTTGGTCTCCATAACATACAATAACGCTAAACAACAAGGACAAAAGGTGGCTCTGATACCAATTGTGAGAATTAAAATAATTTTAATTCAGAAAGAAGAATACATCCTGCCATGATGTTCAAGCCTTTGAATCTTTATCCTTGAATGATCAAATCTTGAATGTATAAACAAAACCCACTCATAGAACACTTTTACAGGACTATATGGGAAAAGTGAAAGGAATAGAGTTTCAAGCCTATTCTATTTACAAAACAACGTCTGTGTTTGATGGCTATCACAGGTATATATATAGATAGGCTTGGACCCATATCCAAGTGTAACCCCTTATAACTTCCCACCATTAGGCAAGTTGTAAGGTCCCATGAAACCATCATATGGGATAGTGAACAGACGTTAGTTACTCATTAACCATTAAACTAATTAAATATATATAATAAATATATATAATATAAATAACTAAATGAATAAAACAAACATGTGGCATATGGGCCACTTTATGGATATTCTTACATTAAAATCTTTCAAACAATGTAAATCATGCATCAAATGCCATGAATCAATCTTCTTGTTGGTTGTGGACCTTTTACTGAGATACCATTGAAGCATGTATGATCTTTGAATGCATTCACCTTTTTTCTTTTTCTTTTTTCACAAATTAGGTTTCACTGGAAGTTGAGTTTTCAGTTTTTAGTTAATGCTTAACTATGTCATCAAAGTGGTCTAATTTCAGTTTCTTTAGAGATGTAATTTTTACAAATCCGTGTTGGTATATTTATCCAGACTTCCACATTAGAAGAAGAGGCATACCCAGCTTTAAATGAGTTATCAACTAAAACCAGTATGCATAATCTCAAACACGTGAGAATCATAAAAGGTCGTTTGGTTGCTTGGTCTGGGCGTGTGCAAAAGGTATAGTATTATCTCATTGACTTCTTTAATACTCATCACTTTTTAGTTTCGTTAATTGTTTTCCATTGCATCATATTAATTCTTGATAAGGGACTTTTCTTTTCTTTTTCCTTTTTCTATATAAAAAAAAAATTTCTTGTTCAGAAAAGTAGCGGATTGATTCAAAATAATGATATTATGCCATATATTTTATAGGTGAGGGATGAATTTGAACATCTACTGGATGACGACTTAGATATGGTTCGAATGTACTTGACTGATAAGCTTGCCACCTTGCAATCTGAAGGTTTAGAAGATGAACTAGGGAATGATGCAAATGCATTTAAATCGGGCAATGATAGGTAAATTAATTTCCATTTAGATTCTTGTAATATCTTTTCATGTGGAATAATTTAGAAGTTTTCTTTATTATACAGAGATCATCAAGACATTATTGAAAAACTACATTGTCAATGTTGGTTTTACAGCAATACTAACTGAGTAACTTCCCGATAAATCTCATAGTCTAATTTTTCAATGTTGGTTTAGGTTTGATCTTGTTTTCCCGATAAATCTCATAGTCTAATTTGAACCCTGTCTAGGTATTGATTTTACCTTCACCTATAACTATTAAGGCATTAATAAACAAAGAAGTTCTTATCTTTCAATAAATTTTAACTCAATGTGCTTCATCATGCTTGTTGGTTTTCAATTTTCAGTGATGAGGATGTGAGCAGCAAAAGCAGTACTATAGATGTAAGTGATCTCAAACCAAATGTTGAAGAGTTGGAAATGCTATTGGGAGCCTACTTTGTGCAAATAGAAGGAATATTAAACAAACTATCAACGGTATGCTAAACTTCTCTTTGTTTTTACCTTTTAGATATTGCTACCCCACTTCTAATCCCTAAAGTAGATTTGTTTGGTTATTTGGAAACTTTAGAGGAAAAAAAAGAGTTAGAAGGGATGAAAAGCACAACAGAGCAGAGGGTACTCTCTTTGTCTGTCTGTTTGGTTGAGTAGAAAGTGTTACTTTGTTTCACCAAAATACTTTTACTTATCAGCGAAAGGGTGTTTATTTGAAGGGGGGAAAATGTGAGTAAAATGTTTCCCTTTTTCTCTTCTTCCTCTTCACACATATTGGGATGATTGATTTTGATGAAGTTTTTCTTTCCCCACCCCTTTCTTTCCTGCCAATGAAGGAAATTGTTTCCATCCTCCCATCTACTTTCCCCACTTCCTTTTTCCCAATCCCCCCGAGGGAATGATAAGTGTTCCACATGTGGGTTCCACCCTTCTTCTATGATTAGTTGTATGAAAAATTTATGTGCATATAGCACAGCTAATCTTCCCTTCAATGACGTGTATACCAAAATTACAATGATGTTATATGACTTTAGCATACTATATGAAATATAATGACAACTCCTTTTAACTATACAAAATCAAGGAACATGTCAATATTTGTAGTTGGTTAAATTCTTTATCACGCAGTCCTATATCTCATGTCTTATGTCTTTGGTTTCTTTGTACTCCATCCAAAAAAAAAATTCTTTTAAAAATTTTCAGCAATGAATAAAAGAGTGAAAAAAATAAAATAATAATAAAGAAGAAAATGAGATGGTGTTTCTTCTGAGTCTGTCAAGATCATTCTAATGCTGTAATTCTTCTTGTTTGGTTTTTAAAGCTACGCGAATACATCCACAACATAGAGGACTACATCAACATCGTATTGGATGACAAACAGAATCAACTCCTGCGAATGGGCGTAATTATTTCTACAGCAACTCTGATGATGCACTCAGGGATCGTGGCTTCAGGTTACTTTGGCATGAACATCGACATTTCTATCACTGATTCCGCAACCCTTGGACAGTGGTCTGGGATTGTTGGAGGTATAACTGTTTTTCCAATTATTTTATTTGCCATAGCCATGTTGCTGTTCAAGTGGTTAAAGCTTCTTGGCTGAGGACTAACTAACTTCTCACGAGAGGTTAGATATAACAATATTTGCTACAAATATATCATTATCTATCTCCAAGTTAGATACAATTAAAAAATCTTTGGATCTAGTGTATCATATAAGAGGGTATGTTTAATGACATATGGGAAGTCTATGGTGTGTTTTGAATTTTTTTTTCCTTCTCTGTACTAAGGTCATGTATGTAAAAGGATATCACACTCATAACTAAAATATATAATTATATTGTGTATTCTTTTGAGCTTTTTTCCAGATTTGTTGATTTGCAAAAAGAAAAAATAGAAACCCAATTACTTAATGTTTGACCCCATGGGGCCATTTTCTAGGTGTACTGAGCTTGAAATTGTTGGAAATTTTGGTTTTGTAGGCTTATTTTGGGCAGTCTTTGAGCCCAAATTTAAGTGGGGCCCACACGTAGTTTGAGGTAGGTCCAAGTGGTGACATGTTTCTTACCGCATGGCAAGTTACAAGGTGAAGACGGATTGTCAAGACCATTTATGAGTGAATGAGAAGTTGACATCGTTTTTAATTTCGTGAAATAGGAAGTTGAAGAGTCAAACGTCGGTTACCTTGTTTTGGATGTTCCATATAGAAACAATAAGAGAGCTTATATAAGTATATAAGCTTTACATTGACATACTTGGGATGGGTCCCAAGGGGCACCCCAAGTTTTGTAAGGAGAGGAGTTATTGACAAAATGAGTTTGACCCAAATCCACCACACGTGCGCCATAGTCAGTCCAGTCGGACTGGGCACAGGTGCGTGTTGTGGGTTGGGTTGGGTCCGAGCTTTGATTTGAATTTTTTCAAAAATTCTTGCAGAAAATTTGAAATCCTAATGGATTAATTCAAATGTTTACACCAAAATTCGAATTCGAATTTTTTGCTTCCCATAACAATGCCTCTCCGGTTGCCTCTCTTCATTTTCCGGCGGTTCTAGGTTTCACACCTGTTCGAAAGGTTTTTTTCCCTTCCGAATAGAAACCTCTTGGCTTATAAATACAAGATCCTCCAGCAAATTCAATTCATTCCATTTTTCCTTTCCTGTTTTCCTTCTGTGCTGCATTTATTCTTCATACTAATTCATAGAGTTTTAAGAGAGTTTCTAAATTCAGGTTCTGGTTAGCCATAACAGATTGTTTGTAGTGCTACTACAATCTGTGTGAGCGATCAATGTATCCTAGAAAAAAGACTCCGATAATCCGTTAGCACCTGTGTGGCGGCGAATCTGTATTAAGATTGTTGGAACAATTTTCTATATTTAGAATTTTAATGGCTACTAAAATTGCTCAAACCTTTAACCCGATCGATATTGCAACTGCCTCAATCCCTCCTGCTGTTGTGATAGTCCCAGTATATCACAGGGAAAAGCCAGAAAAGTTCCTAGGAACTAACTTTAAAAGATGGCAGCAAAAAATGTTGTTCTATCTTACGACATTAAATCTGGCACGTTTCCTTCATAAAGATGTTCTTGTTCTAAAGGAGGATGAAACCAGCTAACAAGTGGTTGTTGTAGTCGATACTTGGAAGCATGCAGATTTCCTTTGCCGCAACTATATCTTGAATGGGCTTGATAATACATAATACAACATTTATAGCCCCATCAAGACAACAAAGGAATTATAGGAATCCTTGGAGAAAAAATACAAAACAAAAGATGTTAGCTCGAAGAAATTCGTTGTGGGCAAATTTCTAGATTTTGTAATGGTTGATTCAAAAACTGTGATCAGACAAGTTCAGGGTCTTTAACTCATTTTGCATGACATCCATGCTGAAGGCATGTCACTAAACGAGTCCTTTCAAGTTGTTGCCCTAATTGAAAAGTTACCACAAGGTTGGAAGGAATTCAAGAATTATTTCAAACACAAGTGCAAAGAAATGACTTTAGAGGAATTGATTATGCATTTGAGGATTGAGGAAGACAACCAAACGTGTGAGAAGAAGCTTGGAAAGCATCCTATGGAGTCAAAGCTAATGTAGTGGAACATGCACCAAAAGCAAAGAAACAGAAATTTACTGGAGAAAGTTCCTCATAAGGCTCTGAGGGAAGGGAAACCAAGAAATTCAAGTTTAACGACAAATGCTACATTTGTGACAAAGGACACTGGGCCAAAGATTGTCATAGCAAGCTCAAAGGTAAATGAAGTTCAAGTAAGAAACCTGCTCAAGCCAATGTCACCAAGTGGACCAAATCTCCAATGGTGTTGAAGACATAAACCTTTCAATTGTTGTGTCTAAAATCAACCTTGACGGAAATCTCAAAGAATGGTGGGTGGACACTAGTGTTACTCGTCACATTTGTGCTAACAAAAAGATATTCTCTTTATATTCTATGGTGGACAATGAAGAACAACTATTCATGGGTAACTCCTCGATGTCTAAAGTCGAAGGACAAGGAAAGGTTATTCTGAAGATGACATCTGGAAAGGAACAATGTGCTGTATGTACTGGTCATTCGCAAGAATCTTGTTTCCGGATCTTTGTTGAGCAAGAATGGGTTTAGGCAAGTTTTTAGAGTAACAAATTTGTACTTACCAAAAATGGGATGCATGTAGGAAAATATTACATGAATAATGACAATTTCAAAATGAATGTAGTGACTATTGAATCTTTTATGATTAATAAAAATATATCTTCTTCTTACTTGCTTGAGTCTTCATATTTATGGCATGGTAGACTAAGACATATTAATTATGGATCTTTGTGTAGATTAATTAATATGGAATGTTTACCTAAATTTGAAATTGATCCAAATCATAAGTGTGAAATTTGTATTGAGGAAAAATTAACTAAAACCCATTTTCATTCAATTGAAAGAAGTACTGAACCATTTGAATTAATTCATAGTGATATTTGTGATTTTAAATCAATTCAAACTACAAGTGGGAAAAAATATTTTATCACTTTCATAAATGACTATACTAGATATAGTTATGTTTATTTAATTCGAACCAAAGATGGAACTTTAGAAACTTTCATTTAATATAAGAATGAAGTTGAAAATCAACTTAGTAAGAAAATTAAAATTCTAAGAATTGATAGAGGTGGTGAATATGAATCACCTTTTAGCGATTTTTGTAAAGAACATAGAATAATTCATCAAACCACCACTCCTTACTCACCTCAGCAAAATGAAATTGCAGAAAGGAAAAATAAGACTTTAGAAGAAATGATGAATGTCATGTTAATAAGTCTTGGATTACCTCAGAACTTGTGGGAGGAAGCAATACTTTCTGCTAATTATATTCTTAATAAAGTATCTGGAAAGAAAGTGAATCAAACACCTTATAAAATATAGAAGGGGAGATTACCATTCTACAAATATTTAAAAGCGTGGGGGTGTTTGGCTAAAATGGTTATTCCTAGTCCTAAAAAAGATAGATCCGAAACCATTGTAACGCCTCCAAAATAATACAAATAAATCCAATTCATTAAAGAAGAGTGTATAATAGAATGGATATACTTTCATTCATCAGAGTTTATATTACAAAAAGGTATTACATGCATTATAAATTCATAAATGTTCATCCTGAATCTATAGCATGTAACATTAGTTAATAATAACAAAATGAATACCCTACGGACTTACATCTTTCCAAGATATCATTTGGTTACAACAAAAAAAAGTCGTAAGCTCTATACATGTAAAGCCCTTCGCTTGAATAAACATTTAAACACAAAATAACAAAATAGAGTCTCTAGCTCCTAAGTCCTCCCAAGCTACGTCCTTGGAGGAAGTATGTCACCGGTACCTAAAAATGGTTTCTTAAGTAGGGTGAGCCAAAGCCCAGTAGAAACAGTCTAATACAATGTATGAAGTTTAACTAAGATATAAGTGCCAGATAAACATTTATGCACATTCTTCTCATGACCATTCAGTACCGATATACACATCTCAATTCATTTCCATTTATTCACTCCACGTTAGTTCATTTCAAAACAACTCATAAGCCACGTTTATAATTTTCCGAATAACCCAACTGAGACTACATTTCAATCAACATAACTATCACATAAACACTTTCAAATCTTGCCATTTTACAGAAATTTTGTCCGCGGGATCGGCACCCATATATACATAAGATTTCGAAACTTTCACCCTGGACACTTCCGCCAACTTAATTTTCAACGGAGTCCATCCCCTATCTCCTCCCAAAACATGGAATACATCCCCTTTCTCCTCACAAAACGTCATACATATACAATGTATCTAAAAGCATCGTCATATTCAATGACTACCAACTATGCATATACAATGCCTTATCATACTGCCATATTCAATGACTCAATTTAACTGATTAGTTTCAATTTACCTAATCCTCATACAATTTCTACAACAATCATAGCTATCTTCCACCAATAACCCAAGACATATATTTCTAAACAGATATACAATCTTTAAAACAGATAATTTCTCAAATTTTCATAGGTGAGTGATTCAATAAATCCAACTACACCATTCATACATACATCCTCTTAATTTCACATTGTTCGTACCAATTTCATTATTTTTACAAAATAATTATTCAAGATAAATTAGGGCAAAACTTCTCATTCTTCTAATATTGATTCATAGGTTAAAATCAACTATTTTAAGATCAGGTAAATTCAAAACCAAACCCCATGATCAATTATATAATCTTACATAGAAACCTTTCTTTCAATTTGAGACCAAACCCTAAGTTTACTCAAAAACTCCCAAAATTTCCACCATTTATACATAACAACAAATAACTAAGTTAAAACTCATACCAAAGTATAGAATATCCCTATCTCAAATAGAGAAGATGAGCCAAGCAAGAGAGAAACCCCAAAAATTCCGAAATCCAACTCTAATCGGTTCAAAGAGAAGATCTTGAGAAGCTCCACCTCTTTATCAAAGGGAGTAGGGTGGAGAGATCAAAGGATCTAGGCCAAAATGTAGAAAGGGAGAGTATTTTAGAGAGAAAGGCTCTCAACTTTAGGGTTTTGGCTGAAAGGATATAAAAAAGTGATGTAAAAAGTGCTTTTCGAGATCTGATATACGCGCAGTCCGTTTAAGCCGAGAGTTTCACGCTTGAGCGTCAGACACAAAGATTTGTTCCGCTCGAGTGCAAGAAGAGGCCGGCTCGAGCATAGAATACACACCTCCAAAACTTTTGCAGACAACAGACCAATCGCTCAAGCTCAAGAAGGGACGCTCGAGCGTGAAAGACACCCTTCCGGTACTTTTGTAGACGTGCAAAGTATTGAAGGTTTGCAACTCCCGC